ATTGAGGGCCAAAAGTTAAAAACATAAATAAGTATAGACAAAAGAGTGTTTATTTCAAGGACATATACAAACCTTGCAGGGGCCCCCAATCAAGCCTCATAGCCTGGGGGGGGGTCTTCCTGGAGACGCCCATCCCTAAATCTCCAGGAGTTTCCCAGCCTGGATCTGGCAACTCTGCGGGGGGGGGCATCCCCCCGCCGGTGCCAGGAGGGACCCTCAGCCGGCCCCAAGATGGCTGGGCTGCCCCAGCTGAGGCCTCCGCTGTTTTTGGCAGCTGCTGCTCCAGCCACCTTCTGAAATGCCTCCAGAGCCCTTCAGACCTCCAGTGGCCAATCAGGAGGCTTGCGGGGCAGACGCTCCGGCTGGCCCCACCCACTTTCCTCCCGTTGTCCCCACAGGAGCCGCTTTGGGCCGCCTGTACGGCGAGCTAATGGCCAAAATCTTCCCCAACGGCATCATCACTGACGGAATCCGCATGCAAGTCACCCCCGCCGGCTATGCCCTGGCAGGTAAGGCCCTTCCCTGGGCAGCCGAGGAGGGACTGTGCCTTCGGGGCAGTTCTGCAGAGCACCAGCGGGGGCCACCACGCCACAGGTGCTGTCTCCCTCCGCAGGTGCGGCGGCCTACTCAGGAGCTGTCACCCAGACCATCTCCACGGCCCTGCTGACCTTCGAGCTGACCGGGCAGATGTCCCACATCCTCCCCGTGCTGGTGGCCGTGCTCATCGCCAATGCCATCAGCCAGCGCCTGCAGCCATCCTTCTTCGACGGCATCATCCTGGTGAAGAAGCTCCCCTTCCTGCCCAAGCTCTCCGTGACCAAGAGCGGGTGCGTCTCTCGGCGAGGGATGCTGCTGGGAAGTAGAACGCCCTGGCTCCTCCAGGGAAGATGGGTGCCCAGGGTTGTGGGTTTCTCTTCCCGGGAAGGGGGTGTTGTAGGGGGAAGCTGAAGAGAGACTTGGAGGCCCGGGTTATGTCGAGGTTAGATTACTGCAATGCACTCTGCGTGGGGCTGCCCCTAGGAAGCGTTCGGAAAGCTCACTTGGCGCAGAATGCTGTGGTCAGGATGTTGATTGGAGCAGGTAGGTCATAGGGACCACATAACTCCAGTCTTGGCCTGTCTACGCTGGCTCCCAATTTGTTTCCGGGCACACTTCAGGTGCTGGTCTTCACCTCCGAAGTCCTATATGATTTGGGACCAGCACACCTGAAGGACCACCAACTTCCTTTAGAACCTGCCCGACCACTGCAGTCATACAGAATGTATGTATTTTAACTCTTTGTATGTTTTGTTTTTAACTCTTTAACCCTGCGGTGGGGAGGGCGGGATAAGAATTGAAGGAGTGAATAAAGAAATAAATATTAATGGTCTTAATGATCTGTGTTTGGGAGGGGGGTATTTGTTTTGGGAGGGTTGTATTTTCCATGTGTGTGTGCGTGTGACTGTCACCAATGCTCCCCTCTAAGCTGTGAGCAAAAATTCTACTTTGCGAGCTACTGGCATTAAAGCTGTGGCCGCTGCATAAATTAGTCTGCTCTGGAGCCCTCCTTCCTGAGCCAAGACAAAAATCTGTGAGCTGGAAGCTAAAAAACTGTGAGCTGGCTCACACTAATTCAGCTTAGAGGGAACACTGTTGACCCCTCCTGGGGGCCTGGAGGATATTCAGAGAGGTGGCTGAATAAAGCCTGCCCCCGCCTCCCGACTGCTGGTATTCCAAGGAGGTCTCCCACCCAAGGACTGGCCAGAGCCAACCCTGCTTAGCTCCAGAGATCTGACGAGAGATCGGGCTTGCCTGGGCTATCCAGGTCGGGGGTGGGGGTGGTATTGTAATGGTTTTTAAATGTGGTTTTTATCCTGTATGTGTTACATTGGTTGCCACCTTGGTAATTCAGTAAATCAGACAAATGAACAAAGGTTTACTGGTAGGGGAGGAGGGTCTAGTCGCTTCAGTCGGTTGTCACTCAGAATGGGTCCCCCTGGCCCATTCCACGCCTCCCTTTCCCCCTCCCAGAGGCCATAGTATTTATGCCGAGGACTTCATGGTGACGGATCTCAAATATCTGACCCGAGAAAGCAAATACAAGGACCTCCGGGCTTTGCTCAACGGCTCCACCCTCAAACAGTTCCCCCTGGTGGACTCTGAAGGTAACGCTCAGGCCAGACCAGACGGGAGGCCCCGAACCGGAGGAGACCCCCCAGCCCCACTGCTGGGCTTGCTCAGAGCCTCTCTCTCTCACCCCCCTCCGCCCCCCCCCCCAAATCCAGCGGCCGC